AGGTTTTAAATAATCGAAAACATTCCTAATTATTACTCATCAGTAAAATTCTATTTAAAATAATAACTTACTACTATGCATCCTCAAATTTTGAAATAAAGACTAAAAACACCAGGGGTTATCGAGGAAGAATGGGCTGCTGATGCTGGTGGGGCAGTGAGTTGTGAATTCCACTCTGAAGATCTGTGTCTACCCAAGATGAATGTATGTTTCCCCTGACCAAGCAATGCCAGTGCTGGGTGTAGATAGATACCCAATAGGGGAGAGAGTGCTCTTGCTCACAGACAGCATGTTCTATCAGCTTTACTTATAACCACCTAACAGTGTTGCTGACCTAAATGACAATCAGAAAAAAAGGATAAAGTATGACATACATACTTGAGGGAATTCTAGACAAATTAAGGAAAGAACAATCACTCTGAGTTCTCGCCAACATAATGAGCTGGGCATGAAGCCAAACACATGTTTTTATACTTCTTTTTGAAAGGCAATGCATGCTTAGACCAAGAGTTTAATTAAAATGGGGTTATCCTTCAGTTTTTCTCCTGAAGGTCTGCCTTACTCTTGTGGAAGCACTATTTTGCCCATATTTCCTCTGTATTCCTCAAGTAATTTTAAGATTCTAACCTAACTGGCCAAGCATCAATGGAAATAGATTCTCCTGTGTCTAAAAACCCACACACTTCCTGTGACCCCATTTTTCCCTTCAACACTGTGACAGTTACTGAATATCAGGTTTAAATAGCTGACTTCTTCCTACTAAATTCCTTCAGTATGGACCCAGCCTGCCACCAGCTACCCTGCCTGCAACTTAAGACACTGACTGGAAGTTTGCAATTTTCTCTTCTTTCAATTCTTACACTGCTACCCAAAGTGAAAAAGCTACTTTTCTGTAGATAACACCTCAAAATTGATGCACAAAAAATTAGAAAGCCAAGGGTCATGTGTACACCTGTTATTCGAGCACTTGGGCAGAAAAAGCAAGAGGATCAGGGGTTCAGTGGTACCCTTAACTACACAGTGAGTTTAAGACCAGCATGAAATTATATCTCAAAAAACACAAAACATAAATTAACACAAATAAATAGATAGACAGACAGATAGATAGATAGATAGATAGATAGATAGATAGATAGATAGATGGAACATGGAGGTGGGTAGGGAAAGAGAAAGGTTTTATAAATGCTATCCCAAAAGAGATTTGTTAAGCTACTTTAAATTAAGAGGTGGTATGGGACTGGAAAGATGGCTCAGTTAAGAGGACTTCCTGCTCCTGCAGAGGAACCAGTACCATGTCTGGTGGCTCACAAACAGCTGTTACTCACCCCAGGGCATCCTGGCTTTCATGGACACAAGTGTACATGTACACATACCCATACCCATATCCAGCCATACACATAAATAAAAATCAAATTTGGAAGTAAGAATTCATTTAAACCATGTTATTTAAAAGAGGGTATTTTGCTGCAAGATAAATCAATATTCATGCTTCAAAATTAAAATATTTCATTGTTGTTCTGTCTGCCCTGTCAGTGATGATAGTGGCAAAGGTACAGTGATCAATCAGTACTAGCAATATTTTAAGAGAAAAATGACCTTTATATTAAGATGTATATTTATGTTTTTAGTTTATTTCTTATTGAAAAGAGAATTTTTCTCATAAAATATATCCTGATTATGGTTTCCCTTCTCCCAACTCCTCCCAGATCCTCCTATCTCTCCACTCACCCAATTCCACAATGTTTCTTGTTCTCTCTCATTAGAAAACTAATAGCCACCCCCAAAATACTAAGAAACAAACCCAAATAGAACAAAGCAAACAGAAAAACAAAAACTCACCCCCCAAAAAACATAATAAACACATATAGATGTTGAGACACACAGTGGGTACACAAAAGTCTCCTAAAAACACATGACCATACTATATAAGCAAAAGAACTGTAGGATAAGACAAAAAAGAAAGAAAGAAAGAAAGAAAGAAAGAAAGAAAGAAAGA